CCACTCCCACCCCCACCCCACCCCGGTCTACAGGTGCACCTTGGGTTTTCACAACTTCCTTGTCTCCCTCTCCTTTCTGACCTGTCACTATTACAGACCTACTTCTTCAGCTTTCTAAATTTTAGGACAGGCTTGTGCCATCAAGTCTAGTCCTTTACTTTTGTTCTATAGAATTACTAGTATAGACTATCTTTCTACTGAATTGTTTCTCTCCTGATGTTTTACATTTGACTGAAAAAGTTGTATCATGCGAGGCTTGTTGACACATGCCTTTAAAAGCCCAGCACTCATAGCCAGGCATGGTGGTGCACACCTTTAAACCTAGCACTCAGGAGGCAGAGGCAGGTAGATCTTTATGAGATTGAGGCTAGCCTGGTCTACATAGCAAGTTTCAAGCAAGTTGGGACCACAGGGAGACCCTATCTCAAAAGGACCCCCAAAAAAGGAAAAAAAAAGTTCGCTGTACACAAGTCTGTCTTTATAGCTGTGATTAAACTTGCATCTGTGGGTAAATTCCTAGGAATGGAATTACTTGAATCAAAAGGTAGGACATTTATAAAATTTCATATACATTGTCAAAATGTTTAAGATATTTTCAAAAAGAGGAATTACTTTTAAGATTTTGAAGATAGCATGTCTTTAATAACCCTGTGCTTGGGAGGCAGAAGCAGGAGGATCTCTGTGAGTTCCAGGCCAGACAGAGCTACACATGAGACACTGTCTCAAAAAAATAACAGATTTGGAAGACACTTTCTCTTTTCTTTACACAGGGGACAATCTAAACTTCACAGAGGAGAAATCAAGCTAAATTCAGAGCTAGATTTAGATGACACAATTCTGGAAAAATTTGCTTTTTCCAATGCTCTTTGCCTATCAGGTAAGTTACCTGTGCTTTTTGGAGACAGTATATTATAGAACTTGAGTTCATCACAGCAAGCACAGACATTTGCTGGTGATTTGGACTTGTCTGCACAACACTCAATACAACCTTAATATTCCTTTTTTTTCCCTTAAAAATAAAAATGTGAAATATATTGTCTGACTGGTTGCCCATTACTGTGTGATTGGGCACAGGCCACACCCCACATGAATGAGATAGAGCCACAGCAGCTCTGTTTCCTTCAGAGATCCATGAACATGCTAGACTCTTAGGAGCTCTGTGAGAACTTCTTTTATGTGCTGCATCAGGCCCGTCCATGCTCTCCCAGGCTTCTTGTACCTCACTCGTAGCCCTGAAGATTCTCACCCCTGCCTCATCCTCAGAGCTACCCACAGGGGCCAGATGAACCTCAGACCCTCTGCATCTCTGAGATGGGACAGCGGAAACCTACCAGATGTAGTGGAGCTCTGCCACCCGGGCTTGGAAATGTGTCCCGTGGTGCGCGGTGCGCCCTCCCCTTCACTTTAGTGCTGTCCTTTATCATACAATTAGTTCTTAAATTTTAATTTTAAAATTGTGGTACATTTGCTTGTTTTGGTCATATGAGGTGAGAACACCAGTTGTTTGTTTCTGGCTGTGTCAGTGTGGAGGTGTTGCTGGTTTTTGTTTTGTTCTTTGTTTTTCTTTGTTTTGTTTTGGGCTTTTTGAAACCAGGTCTCTCTGTAGAGCCCAGGTCAGCCTCGAACTCACTACTGAGCCTCACCCTGTCAGTGCTAGGATCACAGGTGTGCACCGCATACCCAGCTGCACATTTGCTTCTTGAACAGTCACTGACATGGCAGCAGAGGTGCTGTGCACTGATATGTAGCCGCAGCATGAAAATGATGGTGAAGAAATGTTCTGTACTTTTCCCCAGTGAAACTGGCTATTTGGGAAGCAACACTGGATAAATTTATTGAATCTATTCAGTCAATTCCAGAGGTAAGTATATCAATTCTATGCTTGTTTTTTTTTAATATTTTATTTGTTTTTGTGTTTTATGTGTATGCGTGTATTGCCTACATGTAGGTAAGTGCACCTATGTTGTGCAGTGCCCGAGGGTGTACTTTTCCCCAGTGAAACTGGCTATTTGGGAAGCAACACTGGATAAATTTATTGAATCTATTCAGTCAATTCCAGAGGTAAGTATATCAATTCTATGCTTGTTTTTTTTTAATATTTTATTTGTTTTTGTGTTTTATGTGTATGCGTGTATTGCCTACATGTAGGTAAGTGCACCTATGTTGTGCAGTGCCTGAGGGGGTCAGAAGAGGCTGTCAGATCCCCTGGAACTGGAGTTACAGACAGTTGTTAGCTGCCATGTGGGTGCTGGGATTCAAAGCCGGGTCTTCTGCAAGAACAACCAGTGTTCTTAACCACAGAGCCATCTCTCCAGCCCTGTCTATGCTTGTTTTTAAGGATTGGTTTATTTGGGGGGGAAGTACTAATTATACAACAGTATGTATATTTGAGTACAATAAAGAATAAATATTAGAAAGCCACATAGAATTTAAGCAAAGAAAACTTTGAGCTACACAAAAATGATGTAATAAGAAATTTTATGTTGGTTTTCAACTTCTTGAAACTTCCAGTTACTTTCCTGGGATGGTACAGGTTTTTGTTTTGTTTTGTTGGGGGGAGGGTTGTTTGGGAATTTTGTTTTTATTTTTGTTTTTTGAGATATGGTCTCACTATATTGTCCTGGCTGACATGGAACTACTTATGTAGACCAGGATGGCCTTGAACTCACAGAAGTCTGGCTGCCTCTGCCTCCAGAGTGCTGGGATGAAAGATGTTCGCCACACCCAGCAAGTACATTTAATACAACTGAAGGGAGGGGAAACTGCCCAGGGATGTAGCCTAGTGGTAGAGCACTTGCCTGGCTTTCACAGGGTTCTAGTGTTGAGGCTTTGCACTGCAGAAAAGAAAACTAGACAGCAGAAAGTGCATTTTTCAATCTTTCCTCTCTAAAGGAAGGACATTATCACCAAGTTTTTTGTGATATAAAATACTTTGCTAGCTGGGCATGGTGGTGCACACCTTTAATCCCAGTGCTTGGGAGGCAAAGGCAGATAGATCTAATGAAAGCGAGGCCAGCCTGGTCTCCATAGTGAGTCCAGGCCAGCTGGGGAGACCCTGTCTCAAAAAGACCACATATATATACAATATATCATATATTATATATATTGCTAAACTTTGAGGAAAAGTAGCATAGAACTATATATAAATTGACTATATAAAGTTATAAGTATGTAAAGTTATATTCAAATTTCAAAATTCATTCATTACTATGACAGAATAATATGATTATTCTTATGCAAAAAGGCCCTGCTCTTCAGATAAAAGATAAGAAATATGGATCAGCCGGGCATGGTGACACATGCCTTTAGTCCCAGCATTCCAGAGGCAGAGGCAGGCGGGAGGTTTCTGTCTGTAACTGGGTGGTGCATTGGTTTGCCCCTGTGGTGAAGAGGCATATCACGGCAAGAGGAAGGAGCAAGGTCACCTCAGAAAGTTTCTATCGCTTTGCAGTATTCCACAAACTGAGGACCAAGCTGTCATCAGATAGCCTCTTGGGGATGTTCCAGGTCCAGACCAGCCAAAGAAAATGAAAGGCTAGAATATACAATTTTGAACTCTCAAGATGTGCTAAGGCATGCTGGGTAACCATTATCTAAGTTAAGTACATAGAAGTATGCCCCTTCAGAATTTGCTGGATAGATCTTGTATTTATTGGAAAGATAACATAATGCAGTCATCCTTCAGTATCCCTGAAGAATTGGTTCCAGGACTCCTCCCGACCCAAGATACCAAAATCTGCAGGTGGTCATCTTTGTATACAATGTGTTTGCATATAACCTCTGCAAATCCTCTTATATTATACAAATATCTGTAGGTTACTTACAGTATCCAACATACTGTAAACACTGTGTAAAGAGTTGCTATACCATGTTGTATAGAGAATGATAACAGAAAAGTACCTGTCTGCTTAATGCAGATGGCAGTTGTTTTTTAGTATTTTCTGTCTGTGGTTAGTTGAATGCACAGATGCAGAACCCACCAAGAGCCAACTGTGTATATATTTTGTTTTGGTTTTTCCCCTCCAAATAGGCTTTAAAAGCTGGAAAGAAAGTGAAACTCTCTCATAAAGAAGTTATGCAGAAAATGGGTGAACTCTTTGCCCTAAGGTAAAATTTTCTCTTGTATATAAAATATTTCCATTAAGAAAATATCTTACAGGGCTGGAGAGATGGCTCAGTGGTTAAGAACACTGGTTGTTCTTGCAGAAGACCTGGGTTCAATTCCCAGCACCCACATGGCAGCTAACAACTGTCTATAACTCCAGTTCCAGGGGATCTGACAGTCTCTTCTGTCCTCCGCAGGCATTGCATGACACGGGTGCACTTACCTACATGCAGGCAATACATGCATACACATAAAATAAAATTAATAAGTAAAATATTTATAAAAAAAGAAAATATCTTACTTTTTTTTTTTTTTTTTGGTCTTTTTGAGGCAGGGTCTCCCTGTAGCCCCAGCTGGCCTGGCCCTTGCTATGTAGACCTGCCTCTGCTGGGATTAAAGGTGTGTGTCACCAGGCACAGCTAGAAAATGTTTTACTTTTATAGAGATGATGCTGTTTTCATTAACTATAAGCAGGAACATTTACCCATAAGGAGGCAGGTTCTGTTAGGACTATATCTGATGAAATCCTAGGTGTGCAAAAGAGATCAAAACTAGTCTACAGTAAACCTTTGTCAGGTGGCCCAAATGTTCTTTGAAAATAGAAAGATAAATTCTAGAATTTGATTAATGTAGGGCTGCAGAGATGACTCAGAAGTTAAGAACACTGGCTGCTCTTGCAAAGGACCCAGGTTTGATTGCCAGCATACATAGCTCCAGTTCTCCACAGAACTTCTGACCAGCCAGTCATGTGGGTCTCTGTAAGTCTGCTTTCTGCCATTTGGGTCCATTCTTCAGTTCTTTTATGAATGAGACTAAGAACCCTCTAGGGCCCCCCTCCCCAACTCCCATTTCAGTACAGCATAAAACTATGGATATATGGTGTCTTACTTTAATTAAGAGACAAAATGACCTAGTAACAGTATGTGAAGACAGTGATGGACTGGCACCATCCTTTGAAATCTTCTGGAAAAAAATTCATTTTGTACCTTTTGTATGTTAAGAATGTAGCATTGTCATAAACCCTCAAAAAAATTTTAATTAAAAAAAAAAGAGTTCTCCATACTGCTTTCCAATATATATATAAAAATGGGCTGGTTGGGCATGGTGGTACATATCGTTAATCCTAGCACTCAGGAGGCTCAAGCAGGCAGCTCTCTTGAGATCAAAGCCAGCCTAGTCTACATAGTAAGTTCCAGGCCAGCTGGGGCTACAGAAAACCCCTGTCAAAAAAGAATAAAACAAAATTTAAAAACAAAAAAAGAATGTAATGGGCCAGCAAGATGGCTCATCAGTAAAGGTACTTGGCAGGCAAGTCTGGTGACCTGAGTTTGATCCCTAGAACCCATGTAAAGGTAGAAGGAAAGAACCAGTTCCACAGCGTTGTCCTCTGACCTCCACATGCTCACTGGCATTCATGGCTACACACAATAATAATAAAAATAATTTTTAAAACAGAATGAGGCTGGAGGAGAGGCGCAGTGTTTAAGAATGCTTTCTGTTCTTCCAGAGGACCCGAGTTTGGTTCTAGCACCCATGTCTAGTGGCTTACAACCTCCTATAACTTGTCTTCAGGGATCTGAAGCCCTCTTTTGGCCTCTGAGGGCATATACATACATCTGTGTGTCTACACATACATGTGAATAAAAATAAACCTTTAAAAGAATGTGATGATATGTGAAAAGAAGCCCAGATGAGAATATTAGTTAAGAGATGAAGGCTTAGGGCCTGTGGTTCAGTTTGTAGAGTGTGTGCCTGACATGCACAAGGGCCTGGGTTTGAGCCCCAGACTGCAGGAAACCAAGCATGGTGGCCCATACCTGTAATCCTACCACTCAGAAGGTAGAGGCAGGAGGATTAGAAATTTAAAGTCATTCTTAGGCTACACCTTAAGTTTTAGGCCAGCATGAGACCCTGTCTTTAGAAAAAAAAGAGCCTCAGATTGTATGTGGTATTATCCCATTTGTTTAATAAAAATACTTGTGTTTATCAGCCAGGCATGGTAGCACAAGCCTTTAATCCCAGCACTTGGGAGGCAGAGGCAGGCAGACCTCTGTGAGTTCAAAGGCCAACCTGGTCTATATAGTGAGTTCCAGGCCAGCTGGACCCTGTCTCAAAAAGACAAAATATATACATTTGTGTTTATCTTGGTATATGCATACACACATCGGTGCATGAAGAAATTCGTGGAAGGCCACATCAGCATGTTTACAGAATCCTTGGAGAATAAAGGATTTGAATGTTTGGTGGGTTAAGGGCCTAACAACTGTGTTTCTGCAATCTTCTCTAAGGTACTTTTATAACAGTGTACAGCTGTTTATATGTTACTGTGCAACTAGGATTTCCATTTAATTAAACATTGTATTTTTAATTATATATATATATGTGTGTGTGTCTGTACATGTGTGTACAGGTGCTGGCAATCAGATTGCTTGGAGCTGGAGTTACAATTAGTTGTGAGCTGCTTGATGTGGGTGCTGCGAACCAAACTCAGATCCTCTGAAAGAACAGTACATGCTCTTAGCACAAAGCCATCTCTCTAGCCCCTAATTAAACATTTTTAAAGTAAACTTAGACACCTCATATAAAAGAGTGGGGAGAAATTGAGAGAGCCAGGTTATTGACCTGTATAGCGCTGTATATGCTGACACTGGAGATCCTGTTTGAAGCTAGCTTGGGATACATAGTGCATTCTAGGCTAGCCTGGGCTACATAACCTTGTTTTAAAAAATGAAAAGAGGAGACACCATACGTATTTTTGTGTTGTGTTTGTATAATGACTGAAAAGATGCAGAGGAAAATTAATGGTTGCTAATTAACCATAGGGGGTGAGAGGAAGGGAAAACTGCAGATAAGATTTATCAATTTAACCTTTTTAATCTTCCTGATTCTTTGATATGTGGTATACATGTGTGTGTGCACCTTTTTGCTTTTGAGCCATTTAATTACCTAGCTCCAAAAAAAAGGTATGTGTAAATTTTAAATGAAAAAAGAGGGGCTGGAGAGATGGCTCAGTGGTTAAGAACATAGGCTGCTCTTTCAGAGGACCCAGGTTTGATTCCAAGCAACCACTTGGCGGCTGTAACTCTGGTTCCAGGAGATGTGATGCCCTCTTCTGACCTCCTCGGGCATTGCATGACATGGGTGCATGTACCTATATGCAAGCTATATACATAAAATAAAAATCAACAAATAAAAAGACTGAGTTATATTTGAGGAAGAAGCATAAAAATTTGCTCCATGTTAATTAGTAGAGGTGAAACACATTACCATTGAAATCTACCCAATGATTTTATATCCATCCATGCTCAGGTGGATCTCAGAAAGTAACCAATTGACTAGTAATAATCATTACATCCATACATTAGAGATGCATGTGTTAGTAGCATTAAAAATGAGTTTTTCTGCCCGGCATGGTGGTGCACGCCTTTAATCCCGGCCCAGCACTTGGGAGGCAGAGGCAGGTGGATCTTTGTGAGTTCAAGGCCAGCCTGGTCTGCCATAGTGAGTTCCAGGACAGCTGGGGCTACAAGGAGACCCTGTCTCAAAAAGAGGAAAGGGTGAGGAGGGAGAGAGAGAGATTGTAGTCAGGCATGGTAGTATACACCTGTCATTGCAACACTAGGGAAGCGGAAGCAGGATTATCAGGAGTTCAAGGTCATCCACAGCTACATAGTGATTTCAGTTCCAGCCTGTGCTACATGAGGCCCTGTCTCAATAAAAGAGAGAGGGAGAGAGAGAGTAGGGGGAAATAAGAGGCGAGAGAGAATTGAAAAATAAAAATTTTTTTAAAACAAACTTAAATTGAAAACAGTATACTTCATAACTACTTTTGTTATTAAATGATTTAATTTAGTGGAGAATTTAATTTTTATAAGTATTTCTATTTCTCAAATATTTTGCAAAAATTAGCACTTAAAACTAGCCATTCAAATATGAACTATTGTAGAAACAATGTTGTTTTAGTTCACTGTAAATAGTTAAAATGTTCCATTTTTATTTAAAGGCACCGTATAAACTTGAGTTCGGACTTCTTGATCACTCCCGATTTCTACTGGGATAGAGAAAACCTTGAAGAACTTTATGATAAAACTTGTCAGTTTCTTAGCATTACTCGAAGAGTTAAGGTATGTATTTTTCACTTTTACAAACAGAAAAAGACACAGTTGTTGCCTATAATTTGTATGGCTGAAAGTTTCAGCTGAGTGGATATGTCGAACTACATTTTTCAGGATTTGACTTCTGTGCATATCTCTTTAGACTTCTTTTGTTGTGCTCTGTACAATCACTTTAAATTTTTTCTCAGGAGGTTGCGACAAGAAAATTGTTTTTGAGTTCAAGACCATTCTGGGGTACAGAGGTACTGTTTCAGCCCTGACCACTCAAAGAAAAATATAAAAGCGATGAATGACAAGAGGTTTGTTTGTTTTAGGAAGAGTATCACATTGTAGCCCAGACTAGCCTCAGACTCCCAGCAATCCTGCCTTAGACTCCCAACATTGAACCACCAAATTTGACTTGCCTCTCAATTTTCTGTATCAGTGTTGAGAGCACTTGAATGAAAGGTCACACACACACTTATTGTCAAAGATGTCAGAGATAATATGCTTTTCACAAATGCTTAAATTTATTGACAGTAATTCAAAGCACACATCACAAATTCATGCTCCAGGAGGGTGTTGCAGGGTACTGGTGGGGATAGTCAAGCATATGCATTTGCTGATTTCAAAATGCAGGGCAGGCAGATCAGATCAGAGGAAAGCACTCGGAGGTCCAGGAGACTTGACGGGAATTGCACAGTAGCCTCTAAAAATTTCTTTACACAGAGATGAGTGAAATCAGTCAAGATCTCTCATGTGTTCCCCAGGCACAGCACTGTGTTCCTAAAAGCAGCCTGTGCTGACAGTCTTTTCATGTTCCTTCTGCCACCACAGTCATCCTTGGTGCAGTCTTTATCCACGCACCCAGCTTAGGGCTCACTCATTAGCATTCGATGTAAACAAAAAACTCAAAACAATTCTTAAGCTAGCCACCTTGGAGTTTACTCATTAACATGTGATGTAGCCACATGCTTCAAAAGAATTTTTTTTTGTATTTTATTATTTTTATGTGTATACGTTTATTGCCTGCATATATGGAAGTGTACCTGTGTTGTGCAATGTCTGTGGAAGTCAGAAGAGGTCATTGGATCCCCTGGAACTCAAGTTATGGACAGTTGTTAGCTGCCATGTGGGTGCTGGGATTCGAACCTAGGTCTTCTGCAAGAACCATCAGTGTTCTTGACCACTGAGCCATCTCTCCAGCCCCTTCAAAACAATTTTTATCCTAGGTTTACCTCATTAACATAAGAAGTTAACACATGTCAGGAAAGAAAACAAACACCATCTTACTTTCACTTTCAAAAGTGAAAGTCCTGCCTCTTACTTAGAGGTTGTCATGAGATTTCAATGTTGTTTTGATATTTTTGTGTTTGTTTTTGAGATGGGCGTCTCACTACACTGCCCACAATGGCCTTGAACTTAAAATCGTCCTGCCTCAGCCTCCCAAGTAGCTAAATATGTTTCTTCCTCTTTGCTTATGTCTGTGGTGCATGTGGTATATGTGTGTGTGTATGTATGTGTGTGGTATTGTGTGTACAGATCTGAAGGCGGAGATTGACATCAAGTGCCTTCCTCCATCACTGTCCACCATATTTTTTCATTTGGGTTTTTTTTTGTTTCAGTCTTACTGAGATAGGGTATTCCTGTAGCCTCAACTGGCCTGGAACTTGCTGTGTAGACCAGGCTGGCCTCAATCTCACAGAGATCCACCTGCCTCTGCCTCCCAAGTGCTGGGATTAAAGGCATGCACCACCACACCTGGCCATTTATTTTATTGCCTGCATGTATGTAAGAGCACCCATATCAGGCAATGCCTGTGATGCCAAAAGAGGGCATCAGCTCCTCTGAACTGGAATGACACATGGTTGTTATCCATGGAACTGAACCCTGGTTCTCTGCAAGAGCAGCCAGTGCTCTTAACTGCTTAACAATCTCTCTAGTCCCTCATCATCTTTATTTAGGACTTATTTTTATTTATCTGTGTGTGTATGCCACATATGTGGGGTTCCCTGTGGAAGCCAGAAGACAACATTGAATCCCCTGGAGTTGGACTTAGAGACAATTGTGAGCCACCTGATACAGGTACTAGGAACCAATTTCACATCCTCTGGAAAAGCAACAATTGCTCTTAATTGCTGAGCCATCTTTCTACCCCCTCCTACTTATTGTGTTTGGGGTTTTGTTGAGACATTGGAGCTCACTAATTCAACAAGACTGGCTGGCCAGCAAGCCCCAGGGATCTCTGCCTGTCTCTGCCTCCCTAGCTATGGGATTATAGGTATTTTGTCTTTGCTTTAATTTTTATATGTATGTGCATGTATTTGTATGAGTTCATGTATCACATGAGTGCAGTAACTTGTGGAGGCCAGACGAGGGCATTGGATCCCCTGGAACTCGAGTTAGAGATGATTGTGAGCTGCCGTGTGGATACTCAGAACCAAGCCCAAGGAGCGAGCCCGCTCTCCAACTCCATGCCCAGCTTTTATGTAGGTGTTGGGGATCCAGTCAGGTCCACATGTTGCATGATAGGCAGTTTACCAACTGAGCCATCTCTCTAGCCCTACACACTGCTTCTGCTTCTTTGCTGAGCTAGGGCTTTTTAAATGTGAAGGCATAATGCCGGGTCTACATTTATTTATTTTATATGGGTGGGTGATGCCATGGCGCACGTGGAGCTCAGAGAACAATTTTCAGGAGTCAGTTCTCTTTCTACCATGTGGGTTCTAGAGATCGAACTCAGGTTGTCAGGCTTGCCACCAGCCTTTACCCATTGAGCCATCATACTGGCTTGAAAGGGTCTTTGACTTTTATTTTTCATTCTCTCTGATTTTTACTATCTTGTTTCTTTCATTACCCAAAGTTTATGCTCAATTGTTTTTCCTTCTTTGTCTCTTTTTCAATGTTATTTTCCAATCACTTCCCACACTGACCTCATGTCCCATCAATTTTCAAAAAGCCTCCATGGTTTTCTGGGTGTACAGTTGTGGCACATACATGCTGCAAGCCAACTGCTGCCCTTGCAGAATCCCGTCGAGAGTATCCACAGTCGTCACTCATATTCGTTCCTCCGTGACTGTCTTCTGGCACAGGGACAGAGTGATTTGCTGATGGTCAGGGAAAGGCAACCATCCCAAACTGATCGATTTTACGTGTATGCATGTGTGTAAGTGTACCCATGTCATGCAGCAATCCCTACAGAGGACAGGTGTCTGATCTCCTGAACCTAGAGTGAGTTAGTGACCATATGCATGCTGGGAGTCGAACCCAGTGCTCTTAACCGCCGAGCATCTCCTCTGCCTCCCAAATGCTGAGATCAAATGTGTGCATCACCACACCCAGTCCATTTTATTTAGTAGGATTGGGAATAGAATTTGCATGCCAAGGCTCATATGAGGAAGTCAGTCAATTTACACGAGTCGGTTCTCTCCTTCCACTATGTGGGTTCCAGGAATGGAACTCTGATCATCAAATGTGGCAGCAAGCACCTCTTTATCCAGAGACATCTTGTTGGCTCCAAAGTATTATTTTATGTGTATGAGTATATTGCCTACATTATATAAGTGCACTCATGTCATGCAGTGCCTTTGGAGGTCAGAAGAGGGCGTTAGACCCCCTGGAACTGGAGTTATGGATGATTGTTAGCTGCTGAATCTGCAAGAGCAGTCAGTTCTCTTAACCGCTGAGCCATCATCCACCCCACCCCCCACAGCCCAAAGCAGTTACTTTGAAAGGGAAAGATGGAAAACTTCCTGTTTCTAAAACTTAGTCTTCTCTATGTTACAGTAACCAAAACTATTAATACTGCAGATCAGTGGAACAGAACAATTGCATTTTTGAGAATTTCATGCATGAGATCTAGATTTACATCATTACATCCCTTCCTCTTTTCCCTTCAACTCTTCCCATGCCCCCCACGCCTCCTCTTTATGGGCGTGTGTGTGTCTATTCTACTGAGTCCATTTAGTGATGCTTGTGACCACTTGGGATTGGATAGCCTGTGAGAGAGCTCATCCTTAGAAAAAATTGATTTTTACTCTTCTCAACAGCTAATGATTACATTTATCTACAGTCAGGCCTTTTGCAGTGTCTTGTTTTCTGTTGCAATTTCATGAGTGTGGCTTCCCTGTCATGTCTAGAAGACACTGTCTAGCTGGGAGTGCCCTGGTCCTCTGGCTCCTACAATCTTTCTACCCACTCTTCCACAATGTTCCCTGAGCCCGAGATGTAGGGTTACATTGGGTTGGCACACCTGGTCTGTTATTCTCTGCATTTTTGACCAGTTGTGTCTGTAATAGTCTCCATCTGTTGCAAAGAGAAGCTTCTTTAATGAGTGGTCAGAGCCACACTTAACTGTGGGTATGAAAAGTATTAGAATAGTTAAGAAGTGATATGATTTAGGAAGGCAGAAGTCTAGGTCTGTGACCTCTCCAGCCATGGGTACTTTGCTAGGTTTACAGTTGAGCCATTTCTGCAGCCCCTAAAACAGAAACTTTTAAAACTTCAACAAAAAAGAGGTAAGCTTACCTTGAGATAAGCAAAAAGACTTTTTATTTTAATCCTAAAAAAGGATGAAACACAGTGAAAAAATTGAGAATTGAACTTGGTAAAAATTTAAAACGTCTGCTCTTTAAAAGCCACAAAGGTAAAGCCAGGCATGGTGGCACACGCCTTCAATCTAAGCACTGGGAGGCAGAGGCAGGCATATCTCTGTTGAGTTCAAGGTCAGCCTGGTCTACATAATGAGTTCCAGGCCAGCTGGGGCTACATGGAGACCCCATCTCAAAAATACCAAAAGAAAATAAAAATTCATTTAAAAACCATAAAAAGGCAAACCATGGAGTAGAAGGAACCATTTTATTAATTTGACAAAAGACTTGCTGAGAATGTCAAAGGAATTCTTTTGTGTACAAGTGTTTCACCTGCATATGTGTACCATGTGCATATTCAGTTCCCACAGAGGCCGAAAGATGGCACCAGATTCTCCTGGAACTAGCTAGAGTTACACACTATTATGACCTATCAGACATGAGTTCTAGGACACGCAATTCAAGAGGATTCAAGTCCTCCTGAAGAGCAGGAAGCACTCGTAAACCATTGGGCCATTATCTCCAGCCCCGGCAACATGAGTTCTATCCCCAGTAACCACATGGTAAGGAGAAAGCCACCTCCAGCAAGTTGTCAAATATGTAGATAGCTGGGCAATTAGAAGGCAGGGGCAGGCAGATCTCTTGAGTTCTAGGCCAGCTGGGGCTACATGGAGACCTTGTCTCCAAAACAAAAACACTTTAGATTTCCTTTCCTGTATTTAGACTCTCAGATGACACCCCCACACACCCACCCAAGGTAACCAATTGTTTCCACAATGTGGCCTTATCAGGCCATTGTAGACCTCAGGTAGGGCCTAATGGGAAGAGGTTAGGTCTTGAAGACAATATTGGAGCCTTGACCCCCTCCTTCCTCTTCTGATGTCACCACAGGCCCAAAAGCATCAGGCCAACTAACTATAGACTAAAACCTCCAAACTTGAGCCAATGTAAACCTTTCTTCTAGTAAATACTGTGTTTCATTATAGTTACGGGAAGCTGAGCAACACTCATTAGAATGGCTAGAAGACTAGCACTGAAGACAGTCATTTTTGCAGAATAGATTTGCATTTCCTCATATAGTGCCTTTCCATACATGCTAGTCACTGTTTATTCCTGTGACAAACACCTGACAAAATGAGGGAAGGTTTATTTTGGCTCATATTTTCAGAGGTTTGGGCCTAGCCACTTTATTCAGTGGCTTCTGGACCTGTAGATGCTGAAGCAACACATCAAGACAGGGACTAGTGAGGATCAGAGTGGCTCTTCATGGTGACCTGGAGGCAGAGACAGAGGAAGGGCTTAGGGTTACCTTCCAAGTCAGGAGCAGACCCCCTAGGGGCCTGATTCATTACTGGATTAACCCATTCAGGAAGTTAGCACCTTAACAGTGGCACCAGCTGGGAACTAAGCTTTGAGTACATGAGCTTTTGGGGGAGTTACTTCACAGATATGTAGCCAAAATGTTCAAAAACCTTAAATAGCTAAGTATCCACCCATAGGTTAATAGAACACATCCATATGGTTGAACAGTTAAAAAGCCACTAATCACTCATGCAGCAAAGGGGGAAAACCGTCAGAATCATTACACTAAGATCGCAAACCTTATGTACTGTACATTTTTAAGAAAATGTAAACAAATCTGGTGTGCAGTGAAGAAAAGCTGCTTCAAAGGCTGGAAATGTAGCTCAGTTGGTAGAGTGCTTGTCTAGTATGTATGAGGCCCTGGGCTTGATCCCCAACACTTGGGAGGTAGAGGCAGAAGAATCAGGAGCTCAAGGTCATGCTAGATTGTGGGTTCAAACTGTTTCAAAAAGGAAAGAGAAAGTGCACCAGTGACTCCCTGTGACTAGGAAATGTTGGTAAGTAGAAGTAGAATGCAAAGGGCATAAGGAAATAAAATGTCAGTTACATAGGCCTATGTCAACACTGAGTGCTTAGAATGGGTGCATGTTATGAAATTATGTCTCAAAGTTAATTTGAAAAGCCTCTGATGAGGGTTTTTTTAGGTGTAGCTATGTTTACTGTGAACAGATTTTAACATAGGTGTACTCTTTCAGGAATCTCTCCTTTTCAGAGTGGAGTCAGGATTGTTGCGGTCAAACACAGTATCACTGCATGAATATGCAGGCTTCTTTCCTCCTCTCATAACCAGCCTGCTTAAGCCTTGCTCCAGCCTAAGCTTAATAAAGCCTGTTGTCACCTACACCCATAAGCACTCGTTTTCATGACTTCCACTTCCATCATTTCATGGTAATTTTCAGTCACACATCTCTAGCCCCACTCCTTCATTTGCCTTGGAAGTACTTCCCTATGTCCCTCTTAAGTGTTGATTCTTTTATTCCCTACTAGTGCGTTAAGTTCTATGACATCTGCTAGGCAACTGCATCACATCTGTCTGTAGAATAAATGGTGGTTAGATTTCAAAAGGAAATTCATTGTACTCCAGATTTTGAAGCTTCTGTTTTGCCTTCAGCTTGTGGCAGGACCAGCTAGCCTATTTAACTGTTCAGACATCTTTTTCTTTTGTGTATTTTGAGATGATCTTAATAGGTAGCTCAGGCAGGCTTTGGATTTGTGATCCTCCTACATCAGCCTCCTGAGTGCTGAAACTACAGGTGTACGCCACCATGCCTGATTTCAGACCACCTATTTTTCCCTCCATTGACAAATACTGAAATATTGAATGCTTATGTGAGGCTGGAGGGATGTCTTCGCAGGTAAGAGCACTGGCTGCTCTTGGACAACTCAGCTTTGTGAAGAGGGCTTCGAATTCCCCTGGAACTGGAGTTAAGGACAGTTTGTAGCCTCCATGTGGGTGCTGGGAATCGAACCCAGGTCCTCTGCAAGAGCAGTCAGTGCTTTTAACCCCTGAGCCATCATCTCTCCAGCCCCCTCACGTTTGGTTCTTAACACCACGTGTTTCAACCACCACCAGACCCCAGTTCCAGGTGATCAGACACTGTCTACTAGTCTCTAGACACAAGGTGCACAAACACAGTTGTAGGCAAAACACTCCTCCACACACAAAAAAATTTTCTTAAAAATTTTTAAGTCTATGGCTGGGTGTGGTGGTACACACCTTTAAATCTCACCACTTGGGAGGCAGAGACAGGCGAATCTCAGGGAGTTCTAGGCCAGCCTGGTCTACCTAGTAAGTTCCAGGACAGCTGGGACTACAGCTTGCAGGAGGAGTGCTATACCCAGCATTCAAGTTCCTGTCACTCAGTATGGGTCTACTCAGACTCCTGTCTCATCTGGTCTGGTCTAATTTCTCAGTATTCTCTCATTTACCAGTTCTTCATCCTCTAGCCAGAAGACATCTGTCTTACCATTATTAAGCCATCACAAAATTGAACATAAGTCTCCCACTTACCTGCAGAACCACCAGATTCAGACATTATAGCAGAATGTATTTGTTTGCTATTCCTGCTGTGACAACTAAGCCTACAGGCTCCACACCACTTTATCCTCTTAAGGTTGTGTGAGCCAGAAGCCTGGCACAGGTGTGATCGCAGTAACATGAGAAGCCGTAGCTGGCCTCATTTCTTCCCAGGGGCAGCTGACATCTGGCTGCCTTCCTCCATCTAACACAGGCAAGTTGAAGAAGCCTCCACTCCACGTACAAGGAGCCAGATGACCTAGCATTGCATCTGTCGGGAAGTGTGCTGTGAGTTCCATGTAAAGGTGGGGAAGCGACATTGTTCTACACTTGTATACAGTGCCTTGCGACCCTCCACTCTGCCCACTTCCAACCACTTCTTTCCAAGTTATCCCTCTCAGCCATGCTTAATTCTGGTCTTTCCTTAAAAGAAGTTACTCCCTTTGAAATAAATACTCCTTTTCTGCCCAACCTTTTCTTTCCTGGCAACCACCTGTTTAAAACTGACCTCGTTTTGAACAACTCCATGAAGCCTTCTGTGTTTCCGCTTCACATACATGTGATCTGCATACCACTATGACACAGGACGTATGCAGGAGCAAGTCTTGCTGCACCTTTCAGTGCTGCCAAATGCTTGAGGTAACCAAGCCCTGACAAAGAAACTTTTCTCAGACAGTCTATTTTGTACAGGCTGGCCTGTAACTCAGAGTTCTGCCTGCCTGTGTCACCTGAGTGCTGAGATTACAGAAGTGTACATCCAGCTGGAGACTTTTCGGAGTGTTTTGCCTGCAGATATGTAACTGCACCCATGCATGTATGAAACGTTTGTCTTTTTGTTAACCCCAGCTGGCCTGAAACTCAGAGATCCATCTGCTTCTGCTGTGATTAAAGGTGTACACCACCACACCCAGCGCATGAGACTTTTTTAAGAAAAAGATTTACCTGTATGTTGACATGAGTTTATATGTACCACAGGGGCCAGAAGTGGGAACCAGATCACCTGGAACTGGATCAGTTGTAAGCAACCTAATCTGGATACTGGAAACCAAACTTGGGTCCTCTGTAAGAGCAGTAAGCACTCTTGATCTCAGGGAGAGTTGCAGGTTCTGGTGTATGTAAAACAGTTCTAATTAAGCAGTGAGAAAGTTGGGGAAGAACATGTTATCTATTCTGTGGTTAGAGTTGGAATGAAGAGCTAGGTCAGGAGTCTTAAAGAAGCAAGCTTAAGGATAGGGGTGTTACGGAGGGGGAGGGGAAAAGAAAGGCGTCCTAGGCATAGAAACTGCAGACAAGTGATGATGTTAACCATGAAATTGCATCTTCCCACTGACCAAATCTGTACAACTATAAAAACGTTCCCCTACTTTACAGCATTCAGAGAAATGTACAGGTACTATAGGGATGTAACTGCCCAGCAGTAATGCCCAGGTTTTAAGTTCATACTGTATTTTGTATCACACACACACACACACACACACACACACACACAACCTGCCTCTCCTCCTTTTTGTGAGCCATCATAATGTAGAACATTAGCCAGTTCAGTTAGAAGTAGTAGTATCATCTAGGGCTGGAGAAGATGGCTCAGTAGTTTATAGTCAGAGGACCTGGGTTTGATTCTCAGCACCCACATGATAACCATTTGTAACTCCAGTTCCAGGAGAATCCAGTGCTCTTCTGACCTCTGAGGGCATTGCACAACACAGGTGCACCTACATACATGCAGGCAATACACTCATACACATAGAATAAAATATTTAAGGGCTGGAAAGATAGCTCAACGGTCTTGTAGAAGACCCAGGTTCAAATCCAGCACCCACATGGCAGCTAACAACTGCCCATAACTCTAGTTCCAGGGGATCCGATGGCCTCTTCTGTCCTCTGAGGGCATTGCACACCACAGGTGCACTGACCTACATATAAACTCATACACATAAAATGAAAAAAAAAATTTTTTTGGTCTTTTTGAGACAGGGTCTCCCTATAGGCCCAGCTGTCCTAAAACTCACTATGTAGACCAGGCTGGCCTTGAACTTTTTTTAAAAAATTAATAAACTATTAAGTGCAATCTAGTGGCGAGTTGCAACAAGGCAAATGTTCAGTGTTTTGGTAGAAAGTAATTGTGCTCACTTCAGCACATACCATAAATTGGACCAATACAGATTGGCATGGCCTCTGCACAAAAGTAAACTGTCATCTTTAATCCATGCTTTAAGAAAAAGTGTTTCAGGGCTGGAGAGATAGCTCAGCGGCTAAGAGCACTGGCTGCTCCTGCAGAGGACCCAGGTTCCCACATCCTTAAACCCAGTTCCAGGGGATCTGACACCTTCTTTGGACCTCCACAGGCATTGCATGATACAGGTGCACTTACATGAAGGCATTACACTCATAATTTTTTTTTAAGTGTTTAGTTCTCCTTTTCTAACTGCTTAAAAACTGAACAAAGTTGGGCGTGGTGGCGCATGCCTTTAATCCCAGCACTCGGGAGCAGAGGCAGGCAGATCTCTGTGAGTTCAAGGACAGCTGGGGCTACAGGGAGACCCTGTCTCAAAAAGACCAAAAAAAAACAAAAAACAAAAACCTGAAGAACTAGAAAACCTTGAATTTTTCATCAGTCTAACAAGGTTTATGAAGCCACTACAAAGGGGCTGAGGTTGTAACTCAGCTGTTGGACTGCCTGCCTGGTGTGCCCCCAGCACTGTATAACTAGGTATAGTGGTTCATGATCCAAGGTTCAGGTCACCATGGGCTACAAACACCTTTTCTCAAAATGAAACCACACTAAAAACTTCGAATGGCTGGTCCTCTTTGAGGACTGAGAAGCGAGAATTAGATTTTTCACCAATACCTACAAAACTTGAAACATGACCAAATTACTTACTCCCTTCAATTATTTAAATAAAAATACATAGCAAGATTTTTCTTACAGGTCATGAATGAAAAACTTCAGCATTGCATGGAACTAACAGACCTAATGCGGAATCACCTGAATGAGAAGCGAGCACTGCGCCTGGAGTGGATGATAGTAATCCTCATTACCATAGAGGTCGGTGACAGCACTGTGGACCAGACTGTTTAGACAGTGGAGGTCAGCACTGCACCAAACCATTTAGCCACAGAGATACAGTAGGAAGGTGGCTAGCCCGTTTCAAATGAGTGTTGTACGAATGTGTTAAATGTGTGGTACCAACATTTTAAAGACGGTATGTTAGAATGTTGACTATAAATTTATCATATACACCCAACATCACCTATGCCTTAAGATCTGTAGCTTGCCATGTGAAAAACTCAATGTTTTTGTCAAAGTTATTTTACTTGCGGTGATTAGTTTTGTCAATTTGATACAGTGTAGAATCACCTAGGGAGGGAGGAACCCCAGCTGTTCTCCCATCTCCCAGTGTAGATTGGGTTGGCCTCAATCTTGCAGAGATCTGCCTCCCAAAGTCTGGGTATTTTTTTTGTCAGTGTAATGGGAAATGAAATTACAGCTGCTTTGCCATGAAATTATTAATTCTCACTTTTATCGTCCTAAGGTAATGTTCGAACTGGGACGAGTGTTTTTCTGATCATGTCATAATATTACTGGAAGAGATGATCTAGGTTCTACAATCAAAAAAATCAGCATTCAGCCTGGAGTGACTGCATCTGCAGGCAGATCCTGGTCTACAGAAGAGTTCCAGGCCAGCCAGGGCTACATACTGAAACCCTGTCTCAAATAACAAAATCAGTGTTCACTATTGGGTGATCTCTTATGTAATGGGTTTTAAACTTAAGAAATCAAGAAATTGTCAGGTAGGCCCGATGGCACACACCTGTAATATCAGCATTCTGGAGGCTGAGGTAGGAAGATGATGAAGGGTTTTCAAACGGGGGGGAAAAAGGCTGCTTGTGGTGGTACACACCAATGTCAGCACTTGGATGCAGACTCAGGACTGCCCAAAGTTTAAGAGGCCAGCCAGGACACAGCAATACCCTGTCTCAGAACAAAATTGTCATCATAATCTTTTTCAGTTTTTAAGTAATATTGTCTGAATAAAAGCTATGAATTCGGTGTTTTTGTCAACGTACTGAAAGTTCAAAAGGAAAATATCAGTTTAAAGACCTTAGACAACTTTACCATACAGGGTATTTTAGCAAAAATACTTAAAGCCCGGGCTGGAGAGATTGCTCAGCGGTTAAGAACACTGGTTATTCTTGCAGAAGACCCGGATTCAAATCCCAGCACCCACATGGCAGCTAACAACTGTCCATAACTCCAGTCCCAGGAGATCCGACAGCCTCTTCTGACCACCGTGGGCATTGCACAACACAGGTGCACTTACCTACATGCAGGCAATATAAACATACACATAAAAATAAAAAAAAAATTTTTTAATTCTAAAAAAAGCTGGAGAGATGACTCAGCAGTTAAGAAAACTGACTGCTCTTGTAGAGGACCCGGGTTTGATTCCCAGCACCCACATGGTGACTAACAACCATCCTTAACTCTAGTTCTGGGGAATCCAACACCTTCTCACCTCCACATTGCATGACACAGGTGCCCTTAACACACATGCAGGCAATACATACGTAAATATTTTTCAAAAAAATTAAAGCCAAGACTTAGATTTTTGGATGCTACCTTTGGGGGGGGGGGGCTCTTTTTGAGACAGGGTTTCCCTGTAGCCCCAGCTGGCCTGGAACTCACTATGTAGAACCAGGCTGGACTTGAACTCACAGAGATCCACCTACCTCTGCCTCAGGAGTGCTGGGATTAAAGGCGTGCACCAACCACCACACCTGGCTGATGCTACTTTTTAAAAAATATTTTGTGTTGTGAATGCCTGCATGTATGTAATGCATCCCACTGTGCAGTGCCCATGGAAGTAAGAGAGAGTACCAGATCTCCTAGATATGGAGTTAGGATAGTTGTTGCCATGTGGGTGAACCAGTCCTCTGCAAAACCAGCCAGTCAGTGCTCTTAACCACCAAGCCATCTCTTCAGATTTTGGACACCACTTCTTAACATGTCTTGAAGGAGTCCTAATCATGGCCCTAACTGATGAGTTATACAGGAAATTTAGCAGTGTTATAATCAATATTCACAACATCAAGATGGACTTTTATGGCAGTAATCAATTTTACATCCCTATTTTTAAATGCCTAATTTGAGTGCAGCTGCTCATAAGCACACTGCCTTTTACTAAGCAGTACTTTACCCTTTAACC